ACGCGGGTGATCTCAGAAGGGCCTCTAACTGGGTGAGGGACACACCAGCATCACTGGCCAGGCTCAGTCAGGTCTGGGGGAGAAACATTGTTCAATTGTTGGCCCTGGAGAGTTTTTAAAAATCGTTTCTTAGCCATTTTAAAGATGTTTTAGGTTTGTTACTTCAATGTGGAGTCTAATAGCAAATGTGGATATAGTTGATTTGCATTTGTGTCACAGAAAGTTCTTCAAAATGATGTCACCGGGAGGATACCAAAGGGCAGTGAGTGAGCGCAACCGCCTATGATGGTCAGGTCAGCAACCCCTGTCGGTTTGCAGAAAGTTCTGCTTTGATTATTAGATGATTTCTTTATGAGACAAGCCAGTGTTCAGAGGACAGTTCTCTGCTTACAGTTCTTAAAAGATAAATGACCTAACTTTATTCCTTAAAGCTATGGAAAGGAATTAATTTTTAAAGTAGGAGAAATTTGAAGTACTCCAAAACAAAAATGTATTAAGGATATGTGACTTTTTTTAATGAGAATATGGCATATCCTTAATATTTACTCCATTTTTTAAAAATTTTATTTTATTGTTATGTTAATCACCATACATTACATCATTAGTTTTTGATGTAGTGTTCCATGATTCATTGTTTGTGTATAACACCCAGTGCTCCATGCAGTACGTGCCCTCTTTAATACCCATCACCAGGCTAACCCATCCCCCCACCCCCCTCCCCTCTAAGAACCCTCAGTTTGTTTCCCAGAGTCCATAGTCTCTCATGGTTCGTCTCCCCCTCCGATTTCGCCCCCCTCATTTTTCCCTTCCTACTATCTTCTTTTTTTTTTTAACGTATTATTTACTCCATTTTTTTTAAATCTTCCATAATGCTACAGCAAGTGTGAATTCATTTGTACCCATGATGCAAAGACCTTACTTTGTGAACCAGAATGTTTCACTCTGGGCCTCCAGACTGATCCACATATTTCTTAGTAACTGAGTAAAACTTGAAGAACCACACAGCTGGAAGAATGTTTAGAAAATGCAGTTTGAGCTTTTGTCTGCAGGACATATTCACAGATATTTGCTTAAGACAAAGGTTTTTTTCCCAAAGACTTTCTTTCTTTTTTAATTAATTATTTATTTATTTTTTAAGGTTTTATTTATTTATTTGACAGAGAAAGACAGTGAGAGAGGGAACACAAGCAGAGGGAGTGGGAGAGGGAGAAGCAGGCTCCCCGCAGAGCAGGGAGCCCGATGCGGGGCACGATCCCAGGACCCTGGGATCATGACCTGAGCAGAAGGCAGATGCTTAAAGACTGAGCCACCCAGGTGCCCCCAAAGGCTTTCTTTCTGTTTGTGATTCTAGCATGTAGCCTAAAGCCAATTAGAGAAGTCAACCGCTTTTGATCTTTAGTTAAAAAAAAAATTTCACTGGGGCAAATAAATAAAGTCTTTAAAAAAAAAATTTAATTGCAGGTATGACTTCTTTGACCACATCTGCTTATTTTGATATGATCGGTAACCTTTCACCCATTTTACAAAAAGGGATTGGTGGGGGGCAGTCCATGAACTAGACAGTTACAGAGCAGATGGTTCAAGAGAAAAATAATAGGAAAAAAATACTTGCTTCAAAATCACCCCTCGAACACTTGAGCCATCACTGGATTCCTTGTTGGAATGTGTCTCCAAGCTCTGCCGTCGTCCCTGTTGGGAAGAGGGCATGAGACTATGCCCATGGCTCACCACAGCTGGTGACCCTTGCGGTCACTGCTTCATTGTCTTGTTCTCCTGAAGAGCATCCACGTGTCACCCAAAAATCAGTTTGAGGCTGGAGTTACCACGATAGGATATGTTCCTTCACGCTAAAGGCCGGTCAGTTCCAGCTAAAAAGGATCCGATCAGTTCACCCTGTGACTCCAGGGTGGGGCTTGGCACAGAGGCAACGAATGACAAATATTTGTGGACTTGAAATGAAAAAGTTACTTGGTAGCCATGAAACTGCAAAATACAGGAAGGGCCCTCTCCGAAAGTTCATGTAAGGGGGAAAGAGGAGGATTCTTCTACTTACGGGGTATGCATTGCCATCCAGCCTAGAATGGGTTGGGGGGAGGGGGGCGGTATGAGGAAAGGCCAGTTGTCCTCCTGCCCTCTTTGTGAAATTCTGACCCACAGGCTGAGAAGAGGTCAGCATTAGGTCTCAGACTGCTGACCACCTGTTACATTCTCTTACTGCTCCTTTGCCTTTGATTTTGGTAGCTCCCTCTCTAGGAGCAGGCGCGGATGGTTTGGAAAGAGAAATTGGATCGATGGTGAGACTCTTGCAGGCTAAACGTAACTCTTTCATGAAACAGAGAACTAGGCTCTAGGTTGATACTAGGGAAAGAAGTTAAAAGATACTCCCACCTGAGCAGTGATTAAGTTGAGAAGACTTAGTTTGTGGTGATACCCTTAAGCTCATTCAGCACGTAGTTTCTTCTCTAACATCAGCATGTATTCAGAGTTTTGTTTCCCCTTTCATGAATACAGAGACAGCGATACGTTCACCAAGATGAAATTTACTGAATGGCCATCGAAAAAGCCTTTTGACAGCTGAATTAGTGTTGTAACACCAAGATTGTAGGGGAATGCTAGTCCTCACTGCTCAGATAGCTATTTTAAAACAAGCTATTTCTGTGGTTATTTCTGCCCCAGTAGGGACCCCCTTCTCAGTTTAGCGGTGTGTCAGAAATACTTTAAAGACTAGCAGATGTTTGGGTTAATAAAAACCATGCTTATCTTCTTTCCATGCTCTTATGGCATTCTTACTGTGATTTCTTCATTGGGGCTTTGAATAAAGAAAAAGCTGCAGTATTTGGCAGAGTCTGATAATTTTAAGTATTTCTTTATCATTGTAGAACACATAAAACGTTGAATTTAAACATCTCTTAAAGGAAGATTAATGGCTCTTGTCTGCCTGACATTTTGAGACTGTCCATAGAGCCCCTCCCCCTTGTATTTCTAGCCCTGCTTCCTTCTGCTTTTCTTATATTGCTCATGGATCCCCTCTACCTGGGACATCAGACATAGGACTAGTATATAAATTAAAGCACTGCTGAGGACTGGAATAAGGGTATCCAGCTCAAGTGGGAAGCTGAGCTTATGAGCTCTATTCAGAGCAGTGTCAGAACTTTACTGCTGGTCGTAATTCATTTGTTACTGGAAGGAATATTGTGACATTTAAGCAAGTTTGGGAGGCTATAACAAGTCATCAAAGGAAGTTTATACCCGTATGTTTGCCAGAGACCAATTTTATAACCTAGGCCAGTCTGTCTGTGGCAGTTTTAGATACTCTTGAGAATCTTGGGCACTCTGGATTAGCAGGCAACGGTATGTGGCATTTCCTGGGAGTGTCTAAGTCTGACATACCTTATAGTAAATGTAGAATTTAGTATTGTATGCAATTAAGACAGGCACAAATGGAATGGGATTTGGGGTCCACAGACGACGTGTGGTTTTACATCCATTCACAGAGCTCGCTGGTGCTAGAGACACTTGAGACGTAGGCTAACGTGCAGCTAACTGTAAAAGTTAGACTATGTTGAATACTATAATAGAGAAATAAACAGTTTGCATAGGGTATGGATGAAAGGGTATCTAAGTGAGGGGGCAGAAAGAATGCCCCTCAGGACAGAGAGAGCAGAGACACAGGGACATGAATATGTTTGGTCTTCCCAGGAAGAGGAATTGTCTCTTTCCCAGCAGCATAGTGGCTGGAGGGAATGATGGGACATGTGGCTGGACGTTGGGGGGCCAGACCCACAGAACCCTGGGTTCATGCCAACAGTATGCTTCCTTGGCAAACAGTCAGGGGCCCTTGAAGGATTTTGAGTGGAGAAAAGGCAAGCTTATCCCAGAAACAAGTAGCTTGGAAGGTGGATTAGCAGAGTCTAGAGAGATTGGCTTGGGGGAGATTATAAATTCTCAGACAGTTGAGAGCTGCAAGTAGGACATAGGAGGTAATAATAGGAAGACTGTAACTGACTTTAAAGAGTTTGCAGAGATAGTAGGTGGAAATAAAACAAAAAGTCAAAAGTGGGTCTATGGGTAAGATAACAAACAAGTCTCAGGTTCCCACTGGAAGAAAAAGTGGGTTTGGGAAGGAAAGCAGTGAGTTTGGTTTTGAACAAAGTGAAATTAGGATACTGAACATCAAAGTGGAGGCGTCTATAGGCACTTGGACATTTGAATGTGATGCTTTTAGAGAAGTTGGGGCAAAAACTAGAGATTTGGGGGTCATTTGAATAAAGGTGAGGATCTAAGATATGAAGTCCACATCAAGATCAAGTTTTTCTCAAGATAATTTCTTTTAAAAAATTTTTAAAAATTTAATGGAGAAACTTGTGTGGAGTTATTTTATATTTGATAACTTGAATGTTACTGAACTTGTCTTAATTAGATTAGTTTTCTCTGGGTTATACTTTTTATTCCAGAGAAACTTAAGTCCTTAGACTTA